GGAAAGGAATAAAGCAAATTAGAAATCATGGGGTGGGACCCTTAGGGACGGAAGGGACCCGCATGAGGTCACCCAGGGAGTGTGAAGGTGACCACTGGGCCAGAGACTCTGCAACCTGACACTTCCCAAGGGAGACCAGGCCTGCCTGTCCCCTCCCCTCTTCTACCCCAAAGACAGTACTTGGCTGGGCAGTTAGCCTTCACTCAGTCATTCAACAAACACCCTCTGAGAGCCCGCTGTTGCTGGGCTCTGAAGTGCAGGCTAGGAACAGCAGAAAGAGCAGATACAGTCCCTGATCCTGGAAAGCAACTGGGCGAGTGAGGACATAGGACACAGTGGGTGCCCAGAGGAGGCCTTAACCCAGCTCAGAGCTGGGGGCTTCCTGGAGCTGAGCCTTAGAGAGCAATGCGGCTGAGCGGGAGAATAGGAGGTGGGTCAGCGTGGCCGGAGGGGGCTGGGGATGGGCCGTGGTGGGTCTGATGCCACGCCCAGGGTGACAGGGAGCCCGAGGAGGCAGTGGAGGGAAGAGCTTTGTGGTCAGACTTGTGCTTTGGGAAGATGCCCTTGGTCACAGGGCAGGTGGGGACAGCAGGGAGCTGGGCTGGTGGCGAGCAGACCAGGGCAAGCCTGGGGCCTCTTCGAGGCACGAGGGAGCAGTGAGCAGCGCCAGGGCAGGGGTGGTAGGGATGGTGGTTCGGGGAACGGGGCTGGGACGGAAGATCCACGCCTGGGGATGCAGAATGAGGGAGGGCTCGGGGTGGGGAGAGAAGGAACCCACGCCTTGAGGTTCCACCCACGGCCTGTAGTGGGGCAGGAGGGGGCCTCCTCCTCTGGGCTGGGCTGGGGGCTCCCACCCACCTGGGGGCCCCAAATGGAATGAGGAAGGATCTTACTATAAAGAACATCAAACACCTCCTCTACCATCTTCCGCAGAAGGTACACGTCCGAGCCATGTTCCAGGGCAGACCGTGGGATGTTCCGGCTGCCACCCTCACCCCGAGGCACCTTCTTGGGGTGCTCTGCCTCCGGCTCCTTCCACGGGGGCCCTCCTGTGGGACACAGAGCACGCGGGGCCATGGTGAGTACTCATCACACCACCAGCCCAGTGAGCTGGGACGTCCCTGCCCTGTGCTAAGCCCTGTAGCTGGGCACCCAACACGGAGTGCAAGTGGATGAATGAAGGAAGAATAAATGGGTGAGTAAGGCCTGCCCAACTGGGGTTCAACGAATGTCTGTTCCATCACCTATTTCTTTTTTCTTTTTAAAAAATATTTATTTATTTATTATTTATTTATTTTGGCTATGCCGGGTCTTAGTTGCAGCACGCGGGATCTTTAGTTGCGGCATGTGGACTCTTAGTTGTGGCATGCAGACTTCTTAGTTGCGGCATGCATGCGGGATCTAGTTCCCCAAACAAGGGATCGAACCCGGGCCCCCTGCACTGGGAGCACAGAATCTTAGCCACTGGACCACCAGGGAAGTCCCCCATCACCTATTTCTGAATTAACCAGTTGAGGCCCTAGTTTTCTGCTCTGCCAAATGGGAAGACGATGGGGACCCCACCAGGAAGCTGAGGGTCTGGGAAGAGGCAGGCTCATGCCAGGCTGGGCCAGGGTGGGGGCCTGGGAGTGTCCGTGGATCCCTGGGTTGGGAAGATGCTAGGCACTGCATTGGAAAGAGGGCTTGGGGACGCCCCTCCCAGCTTGGAGTGTGCTCTCCTCTGGGACCTGAGAAGCTTGAAATAGACCAGCCAAGTTCCCGGTGCTATAAATAGCAGCTCTGCCTGGCTCTGGGAAGCCAGGTGCACCTTCCCCAGGCCCCAGTCTGGCTCCCAGCCTGGCCATCTAGGGCCACAGGACCCTGCCACTGCCCACCCTACACCGGTGCAGCCCCCTGCCCAACCTTGGAGAGGGTACAGGTTTTGAGGGCCGGGTGGGAGAGGGGGCTGGCTGGGGAAGTGGCTGGACCCCAGTAACGATACTCCCCAGCACGGTGTGTGTGTGTGTGGAGGGGGACAGCCTTCCCAGAAATGGCTGATCCCAGGGTCCAGGCCCAGGCAGGGGTCAGGTAATGGAAATGCTAACAATGGTGAGAAAAACAACAGCTGGCGTTTAGTGAGCGTGAACTAAGTGCCAGGCATTGTTCTAAGTGCTCGCCATGTATTAATTCGTTTAATCCTCAGATCCACCCAGGAGAGGGTAGCACTGTCCTCCCCTTTCACAGATGAAGAGGCTGAGGCCCAGCAGGCAGCAGCCGGCAGAGCCAGGATGTGGCCCCAGGTGTCTGCCTCTAGGGCCTGCTCTTAACCCCAAGATCTCTGAGTCCCAACTTCTGGGCTAGAATGCCCACCCAGGCTCTAACCCAATAGGACTTAATCCACCATTAAGGGGAAGCTGACCTGCCTCGGGAGCTCACCGCCAAGCTGGGGCACAGGAAGCTGCAAGGGGTGGGGGGCAGTCAAGCATGGGCGCTGGGGCGGAGGGGCACCGATGGGGCCAGGGGCGGGAGGGATGTCAGTCTGGAGGCTGGGGAGGCATCTGCCAGGCAGAAGAGGGGAGGAGCGAGGGCCTTCCAGGTGGGGAACAGCAGGGACAAAAGGCAGTGGTGAGCAGGGACACACAGCCGGGGAACGTGCACTTTAGCACAGTGCAGCCTGGTGAGCACCAGGGACGCTGGGAGGAGAGAGTGCAGAGGCCGGGGCTGCTTTTGAGGGGCCCTGAAGGCCTAGGTAGCATTGAAGAGTTGGGGGCTTCAGAACGACCCCTCTGCCTCGGGGCTCCCGGCTCACAGCTCTGAGTGCTGGTTCTGGTTTCTTCCAGGAGCGACCAGGACCCCTTGGCAGGGGTCCCGGGGGTGCCCATGCTGCATCCCTCGTTTTTTTTTTTTTTTTGTT